AATTGCCGAATCACACTTGAAGCAGAGAATACCACCTTGTATGGTACTGGGCATCACTTCGACTAGAATTATTCTGGCAGATGTCAGAGCTTCTGAGCGAGTTCCAAGTTTTGAAACAACTGATACTTCATCATGTGCTGACCACAAGTGGCTCCGTACACGACCATTGGATCAGAAATCGGAGGGTTGAAGTCACAAGTTTGCCGAACCCTAATCCCACTGAATCCGGCTCATGCCTCAAGAGGGTAGCTCCGATTGATATACATTCGATGAGCTTCCCTCCACTGCATGATGGTTTAAAAACATGCTAGAGAAGCAGAGCTATGTGGCATTGTTTTGTTGTTGGTTTGTCCCCTCCGTAGAGAACTTCTAAGCGTGGAAGTACCATAACGCGTATAAGTGAAAACAGTTTCAATTGACTGTCCCGAGTATCAACGCCACTGAGCATAATTAGAGTTTGGTCTTACTAGAACGAAAAATACGAAAAAATGCATAGTTATTTTCCGTCGTTTCTTCTTTTAGAGTCCGCGTTGGGACGATTTACGGACTAGCTCATATGAGGTACCAAGTTTCCCGGAAGCTGTATTTACCGTCACTTCGCATTAGCACCGAACTTTACCAGATGTCGCCTACGGTAGATCTGGTAGTGTTGCGCGAGGAAAGCTTGGATTTAATCTTGCTTTGCGGATCAGACTTATAATTGCACGTAGGCAAATGTTCGTTGTTCGTATAAAGAATTACTAATATCTATCAGACCTGATTATTAACCCTGTTATTCCAGGTGATTTCCCGTCTTGATCCGGGACACGAAGGTGAGAACGCTGACTAGTTTCATGTCCCATGTGTTCTCAGTAGATATATATGTATATATATTAGGAGAAAGGGGAGGGGAGAGAGAAAGAAAAACACCCCCATCAAAAGGGAAAGGGAGGAAATCAAGGAAAAAAAATGCAACATAATACGCTCAAGCTGGGTTGGGAATGAATTTTGCTGGTCTGGCCGTTGACATCATTCAATTTCTAGTCATCTAGTCGAATCCCGCGGGCGTCTATCTCCTGCTCATGGGACCCATATCAGCCAATCGCCTCTTAAATGTCTTTCCACACGATCAAAAGCAGACAGGCTCACGAAATGTTTGCTTTCGTCAATTCAGATTCTCGGAGAACTGAAGAGGAAGTTGAGAATGCGAACACCCTTGAATCGATGTCGTAAGCTGGAATAGTTCCGTTCCCTCAGAAAAACCGAGGTTAGCGGCAGACTTCGGCCGGCTTATTGAGAGAGCATTGCTCTGCTATAACGAGAATAGTGCCTCCGGAAACCAGACGCCATTTTCACCGTCCAGCCCCCGAAGGTACCTTTGGAAGGCACTACCATGTTCACAAGAAAGGTAGTACGCACCCATATGGAGAGACATACCACCTGCCATAAATTCCCCACCAAAGGGGTCGTGGGCATCGGGGTTGTGGCATGGACCTTCGTTAGTGGCCCGCAGCATGCTTTTTTTCCCAGAACTGATTATGAGAGGACGGTCGTGTGGGGGCCTTCGCCAAGTGCCCAGGGTTAGTGCACGAAGTTTCATATGGACTCTACCCCTGAGACATCATCTACCCACCACGCCAAACGATTTGATCCCTCGCAATTGACCGGCTCCAACCTGTGTTGTGAACGACATTTCTATTTCCTCTGCTCCCTGGCCTTTCTTGATACCATTCGCTACTCCTTTACCAGATTTCCCTGTTCACGAGCCAGCTTTCGGTGGAAAGGTAGCAATGGTTCCTTACAGCCTTTTGGACCTACAAAACAAGACAAGGAGTTAGTCAACGAAGCCCGGATACCTTCAAGATTTACTCACCACCATAGTCTAATCTAGCCAATCATGGACTCAGCGCAGAATCTACACAACAGCCTCCTAACCAGTCCTTCCTGTGTTTCAATTGTTCCGAAACGTTTAGGTCATCGGTACTCTCGAAGGAGATCATATCCTACTACACAGTACCTTCTGTGACATGCTGCTGCTGCAGATCAGGAAATAACAAGGAAGTACTACAAGAAACATTTGTCAGTACGAACGGCGCTGAGTGAATAACTACAGGCTAACGTCGAGCAAGATCCCTTCATACCATGCAGCAGAGATTAATCGAGCGTGTGACCAAGACGAGCAGTGCATCTGCGTGTCTCGACAGACTAAGACTTCAAACAGCAGCCTTCCCCACTTGGATAACAGTATCCACATCCGCCTTTACCGGGAACTTCTTTCTGTTCCTTTATCTACCAATACGTGCTGGACGCTGCTGAGACATTTAGTTGAATCCCTACAGCTCCAGACACCGCTGGGGGACGGACTGAGAGAATCCAGACAAGGTTGGAACAATCTGTGCTGAAATCTCTAAGGATTTTATCTAATTGTTCCGCAGCCTGTGTGAGAATGACCAAACATGTCCTTCAACAAGTATCCGTTCAAATCCTGAGGAATATCTTCCAAGATATGCGAGGACATTTCCAAAACTCCGAATATCTTCCTATACTGGCCATCTAGGAAACGTGAGGAAGTGGCCAAAACCGTGCGACAGTAAGCTCCTGTACTGAGAAGTCCCACGCTCCCCACGTCTCTAGGTGTCACGAAGGGAACGATAGGAGTCAACCGATGGGTTCGGAGAAGACACTGCATCCACGCGACCTTGGCCATACGAACAAAGCAACTAGACAGGTACCGACGGTGCGAAGCAAGTATACTTACAGAAGAGGACTTCGGAGACAAAAGAGGGCACCGCTTAAAGGGGAATGTGCGGAATGCTCGGCCCGTACATCACCGCTATGGAGGGTTGGACCCGATGGAAGTAAAAACCTCTGCAACGCGTGCGGCTTAAGGTGGTCCAAGAAGAAAAGGAAAGTGGTAGTGTAAGGCATGACCCATATATGATATGCAATATGAGAGATACGCGTATTATTCAGCTGGGTATAACCAACGAACACGGAAACTCTAAACCAGCAGACGTCGATGAGATGTAAGTGTGTAAGTGGCCTGTTATGTTACGGTACATCCCTTCGCGAGCATCAGAACAATGATGACTGTTCCGTATTAGTACATAATAATAGCTTTTTTAGAACAGGAAGAGTGGTGTCAGATCTGTTCTTTCTGCTCTGGAGCTTGCGTCTCATACACCTGGTATGCTGTTGCATTGGACATTGCATGCTCACGTTCTAAAAGCAAAGTTCCTGTGGCTGTTGTGGCCGAACCACTGGGTTTCTTGCGGCCAACTGGACTGGCAGCTGGCAGAAGACGAACGCTGCTGCCTCTAATGTAGGATTTAGATTCATCTCATAACTGATGATATCAGCTACTCTGCAATGTGATATCGAAGAAAGTATAATAGCCAAACGTGGCATGCTGCCGAAAGGGGAATACAGATGAAGTTACCGGTGCTTAGCTCAATCTCGCAACTCTTGCCGTTCATGCGTTTTCCAAGAGAAAAGAGGAGGCCTTCGATATCAACACCATATTTAAGCATGGATAACCAGTGTCAAGACCATGGCGTTTACCGCAGTATCTGGTTTTTCCTTGGCCTGCATGGGCCAAATGAGAACCATAATCAATATAATCCACATTAATGCACAGATAAGGTCTAGTCCACATTTCGGACAGATGGTGTGTTCTTTATCCCGTCTCGGGAAGCATCACAAGTGGAGATGGCTCAAATGGACAATTGCATATAGAGACGAGACATATGAAAGAGCGAAATGCTTGGATTGACGGAGATTTTGACAAATGAAACCCTCTTTATCAACCAACAATATAAAAGGGTGATTCAGAAAGCAGCATCGTTGTTAGACAATGACCGAGAACAGATTCGTAGCCAGAGACCTAAGCAGTATCTTGAACAGGGTGGCATGCTTGAAACAATCGGTATTCAGTCGGCTTCAACAACTTGATTGACCCCACAGCATAGAAAAGAGGGCAATGGTGTCAAGACGGCTTCCGGTAGCAATTTCATACACACAAATGACTTGGGGAAGTTTAGGCTTTTGTTGTAATACGCGGAAATTTCTGGACACTTGGAGATATCTAAATGACATTGCTGATGTCGCCAAACCCCAAGCACGGTCGCTGGGAATGAAAACTCTGTTTGGGGACAAATATTAAAGAACGTTGCGAGAAAACCTCTCTCGACGGGAGATATGTACTTGCTCTGAGCAAACGGCTCTAGACTACCGGTTCTGATCGGCCTGATTGCAAGGAAACGTTCTGCGGTTCACCACCCCAAGATGGAGATTTGACCCCTTTCGTTCTGGCCTTATCCATCTGTTGAGTAATCCGGAGGTCATGTTTGATTCTTTCTCCCCATGCCAAGGGCCATATTTGCCAGGACCGCAAATTATGCAGTCGCACAAGATCTGCGTCCATACTTCGAAGCGGGGGATATGCGAGAACCGAATAATAGATAACCAGGGGTCGTATATCTGGAATAATGAGCAAAAAAATCCTACCGTGGAGCGGGAGACTAGAGTAGCCCCAATAAACCTTGTTTGAGTTTGTCGGTCACCATTGCCTAGGAACACTTTAGACCCAGGTTAACCAGACAAATAAAAATTACTCAGCCGGCGCAATGCCGTCTCATTCGTCCACGGCAATGTCTCACATGGAGCCTTGTGCTACCTAAGTCACGCTCGGTCTCGTGCCACGATGAGGTGGTGCCCGGAAAACATTCTGGGCGCAGGTGAATTTGCTCTGTTATTGAGGGTCCCTCTCTTGCCTAATTCAAGGGTAAAGTGTGGGCCCAATGAAAAAGACTGATACGGAGTAGTTAATTTAAAGTATACTGGTACTCGGTGATCCGAATCTGTCTCATAGTTTCATGGGGGGCATTGTCCGTTCTGTTGTGATATGAAGCTGTTGCTACTCGGGAACGATACGGCAAAAAGGAAATAATTCCTGCCCATCTACACGAGTTGATCGGAAATCAACTCGGACTTCGTGCTGTATATATATCTTCTTTGCATCCCTTTGAAATAAGATGAATCAAGCTTCCTTTTGCACCACGACACTTTTGACTATAGGCGAAGGCAAGACATTCTCACAAAATTGAAAACAAACAAGTACACCACTGCAATTCCCTTAAACTTCCTCGGAAAGGATCAAGAAGAAGCACAAAACCCTGGAACCCGGTCCATCCCGAAAGTCAAGGAAACACTCTTCACCGTCGCGATAAGTCCAATGCTCGTTCGACACTGCAATTTGATGCTGGCTGATAGCATGAAGGTGTGCCTCCGCGAACCCTTTCACAACTTTGTTGCAAGAAGAGCATTCATGGCGAGAAGGAGAAAAATGGCATTGCGTTATATGTATCCAGGGATCCAGCTGCGTATTGAAGGCCTGACCGCAACCGTCCCACTGACAGAGCATACTTTCGCTAATGATCGCGTATTAGCTAAGCATGAAAACAAAGTCTATCAACAGGCAAAACGGACGAAATGGAGACTCCTGAAAGGATTGTTCCAAGACAACGCTTCAGTTAACCATCATGACTTACACGGCCCTATTGGATTGTCTTTGACTATCCATGTATAGATGCTTCTTGTGAATTGTTTGTCTATTAACAGCGTGCTACAGCACCTCGGGAAGTAACTTCGAACCACGACGAGAAAGTCAACTTTATGACTGATCCATATTGAAAGACCCCAATTTTGATAGAGGGAGGAGGGAGATATTGCCTATTTATGTGCGGAGCATACCTTCTGCGTTAACTGCATACACTAGGCAAGGCACGTAAAGTCACATGTGAACTATTTTACTACAGAGTACATCCGACATGTATGTAACGTTTCCGGGTGATCTCCCTCACCAACCGCGTAAAAACCCGTCGGTGCCCTGGCGGGCCCACACCGGCAACAATCCTACCTACCTAACAGAGGGATAGGGGTGCCCAATAAAAGTGGACATGGCCTCTCATTGCTGAACAACTCTCCACGGAGAACTGGTGGCTGACGGAACGAACAAGTGGGAGATGAGCAGCAGCACCTGGCACCAGGAAACCACCGGCAGGACCGGTTGGCTGCGAAACCCTGTGAAAGGATAGCACCACCATGATCTAGGTATTTGAACTTGTAACAGTCCTGGCAATCTTGCGGATTACGGACCGTTGATGTCAATCCTGCGGATGTCAGTAATTACTTGTTCGGCTAGCCCCGTTCGTTATTCAGTCGTTGAGCGGAGGATGTCACTTGGATAGAAAGAATTCTTTTTTCCGTAAGCCAAAAATACCGTTGAGTACAATTGAGCTTCCCTGAAAGGGAACAAGGTCAGTGGTCGTTGTGCCCTTTCCTCCCGTTTCTTATCTCCTATCCCGCTAAAAGTAAATAGACGTGAAGTGTATTCCTCCTTTCCGCTGCGGTCCTTTCAGGCCGACATTTAGCAGGTAAGGAGGGGACATTGGAGGATCGAGTGGTCTCGGCCTATTCCATCAACGGTAATGCCGGATGATACTATACGGGTTACAGCAATCAACTCCCCGTCCGGAGTGGCGAAAGAAGCCGCACGCAGGGCGCGGCTGATATTCTGGTGGATGACCTACCCTTGGAGATAGCGTCGGACGAGTGAAAGGCCCTGGTTAGCCCCTTGTCGATCCTTTGCTGATTACAGTCACAGTCGCTCGGTTTCCCTCCTACTCTCCGTCTCCCACGGCAGTTGACCATGCCGGGCGGCGAACGCTTTGCTCAATCACACCCGATGAACTAAAGACCACCACGTCTTCCATGCAGCAGCCCTCTCTCTCAACTTGCCGTCGATACAGTGAGATGAGAGGGATGAGAGTGAAATCATGACGCCGACTGCTGGCGAGCGTCCTAGAGACAAGGACATTCTTGTCGTGGAGGCGTGGGGACAAGGATTCCTGGTGGGCTCCCTCATTCTCATGATCACGATCACCGCGGCCAACATGAAGAAAGAGGTACTTCTGCACAAACTAATCGTAGCAGAGGTAGGTTGCACTGTCTGGTTGGGGCGAATGGTGCACTATCCCCTGCCGATATGGACGCTTAGCTCGCCCTGGCCCTCGGGCATGGAACGTTCATCTTTCTCCATGCGCCTGCATATGGCTGGTTTCTCTCGGTCACGGCCGTGGGTCTCACAATTTCGCATTCCCTCCACAATGTGATTGCATGGATGAAGATTCGTGGCTTTTTCCCACCCTGGGGCACGCGACTGTATCTGATCACCCTGCTGGCGGCCCAGCCGTACTGGGTCGTCGAAATTTACGCCAACTTTGCCTTTTTCAATCGGAGCCAGGCCTTATATACCACCACTCGGCCACTCGAGCCGCTCTTCCGGTGCGGGGTCCGAGTGCGATCCTCCCACGCTCCGCATTGCTGATGCGAATCTAGGGACCCTTGGTGGATCTTCACCACCTGCTTTCTCCTGTACATTGTCCTGCGGGACTATGCGCTGGTGCATTTGATCCGCATCAGCCCACGTTTCGGCATCATGCTCCTGTTCATGGTGATTTTCGTCGTGTTTGCGGTGGAGGACATGTGTGCGATCCGGGTCGAGAATCGCCTAGGCTATGCACTGGCCTAGGATTAATGAACGTGGATTATCATTGACGAAGCAACACAGGGAGAACAGGTCCCTACCGGGAAAAGGTGCCGATCGGTAGATTGTGATGGAAGGCCGAAGCCGGAAGAAGATTCTGACCGCTACGCAACAGGGACACGTCACATGTCGATCGCTATTCTATAGAACACCACCGGGGCCAAGTTTTGCACTAGCTTCGGACGTTCTAGGCATACCGGATCCGGCAATGGGGTGTGCTGGGTAGGGCTACCTAGAATGGGAAAATGTACGGAGTGAATTATGGAGAAAAGGATCTACTCCGTAGAATTACTTGGTAATCGTTCATTACTTCGTCACGAATTTTCAGATAAGAGAAAGGTGGCTGACGATGCCGTCACCCATCAGCCGAGCTGTCTCGCTCCACATCGGCCTCCGACACGTCCGGATCTTGCTTCGCCTGGGAGAAACAGAGAGCATCCCATTTAGCCAGAAATTGGTCCATATCCACATCTCCCTGGCGGCCCGGCCCCTGCTGCACGACCGAGCTGAAATGAGGGTAGAAGCTGCTGAACTCCCGTGCGTCGCGCTCCTTCCAGCCCAGCGCCCCGAAGTCAGTAAATAGCGCGTGTGTCTCCTCTGGTAGTGCCACCTGCGTCTGGTTCGCGGATAACTGGATCATTCGTAGAATTCCCTTGGCTAGGGGAAAGCGCCGCGAAAACGCCTGGGCGATAATGCAAAGCTCGATGAAAGCGTTGCGGTTCTCCGTGGAGTCGGGCGACTCCATAAGAGTAAACATGCCGATGCTGCACCACTGGATCGTCGACGGCGCCATTCGGTCGATGCCCCATTTGTCGCGATGAACTCGCAGCAGCGCTACCACCCGGCGCGCCGACGACAGGCAGAGCTCTCGTGCATGTGCGGCGGTGGATACGTCGAGGGCGACCTCACGGTTGTACCGGAGAAATCCAAAGATCTGCATGACGGTGGTGTGGTAGAACAGACTGCGGAGAAGGGAAATTTTGTAAGCCTAGTAGCACAGGGGAAGGTATCATGAAGTGGCGAGACACTCACTGAAGACTCAGGATGTGGGGAACAGTCGCCACCTCCGCGCTCAAGCACGGCGGCAGATGGGCATGCCACTCCTGGAGCTGTTTGTAGATGCTATCGACAAACCCGATCATCTGCGACGGGGCAACAAGATGCTCTACGTCGTGAAAACCCATGCTAATCCGTATCATGATGCAGCAAAAGTCGCACCATCGGTCGAACACGCAATTGTGATGGCCGCGAACGGCGTCCACCTCTCGCGGGTATGAATACCAGACATCATGCGCATCGCCATGGGTAACAGGGACACGCGGACGCTGCGGGGGTTTGACGTTGACATGCTTCATCAGCGATACCGTTGCTGTCCTGCAGCCCATCATAATTAGCAGACGCCTTCCCGATGGAAAGGGGGGAAACTTACGAAGCAATGTTGAAGGCCCCCCAGAGAGTTCTGTTCACGACAATCTCAACCGTAACATCCGACTCCTGGCCAGGTGGATGGCTTTCCGCATACTCCTCTGCCGTTCGAATGGCTAGATCCAGATACATCCAGCCTAACCGGTCTTTGCCCATCAGAACCATCCTGCAAGCCCAGCAATATTAGTATGGTCTGCGTTGTATACCGTTCAAACCACCTACCGAATAAACAAAACTAGAAGTCCTTGAATAGTTGGGATTGTCGCCCCTCCCTCCTCCTCTTCCAGGAGCCGACGGGCTTCTTCGTAAAAATGGTCTCCCCGTGTGAGCGTGTCGTGAGGAACGGTGAATACTTCGGCGTAGTCAGAGTAGTACTAAGAATAGCGCCGAGTTAATTTCATACTGCAATGAACTGATATCCCCTAAAATGGTCTGGTGCGCCTACGCTGGCCTCAGAGAGAATGGCGTTCACCAAGAAGCGCGAACAGAACCGGCACTGCAGATTGCCGGCTCGCATGTCCCGGAGGAAAGCATCCTTATCCAACCAGTGGAAGAAGGGATAGGTCCACGTCAGCCACAGCGAAATGAGGTGGGATACAAGGTCGTCGTCGTCGGTGACAGTGGTCCACGGCTTCGCAGGGACTCGATGAACAGGGCTATCGGCGAGACGGCGGACATCCAGGACGCGACGGGGGTTTCTGATTTGAGAGGGTGGTTGCTCCTCGTCAACATCGTCGGAGGGACGAGAGATTTGGCTTTGGATCTCACGCAGTTCCGGGGACTGTTCGATATCGCGCCCGGTAAATTGTTGCCCCAGGAATATTTGGAGTTCCTCGAAGGGGGCATTACTCCGGATGAGATCCAGGAGCCGCCCCAGGCGTTTGCTCTTACTCTCCCGCAGAGCATCAATCAACTGCAACAGGGTCTCTTCGGCTTGTTCGAGACGCTCTAGCTTGCGCTTCATGGCATATTTGCGGCGCATGTCGGCCATCTCGTCGACCAGACATGGGATGCCGTTTGCCACACAGTGTTGACATGGTGGGTCACCTCTGCACTTGCGGGGGGTCAGCCGACGAAAGACGCTTCAATGTGACGGTATAAGATACCAGTGACGACGGGCTTAGTGAAGAAATCCCACCTTGAGCTTCTTCTGCTTACACGCCTTGCAGGCGGCGGTCTTGTGCTTGCGACCCTGAACTACATTGTCCGGCACTTTGGCGTTCGAGGGCTGACCAGGAGCTGGAGCTAGAAAGCGGGAGGAGGATTGCAACTCGGACATATATGAAGATGGACGGAAACGACAAGAGGACCGCGAGGGGAAGCCGCCTTGAGAAATGCGAGTACAAGAGGTGAAGGAACAGCGACCCGAGGGAACGGATACAGGAGTCTTCAGGTGGGGTCGGTTGGCGAGCGGGTATGGCAATAGCGTAGAAAAGGGTCGATAAAATTGGGAACGGCCCCACTTGACAATAGATTGTAGTGTAGATGGGAAAAAGGATTGACTGAACGACACTGCGTCCCGAGGTAAAATTACCCAAAAGGGGAAACGCGCAGAGCGAGAGAGGAAGACGAGAAAGGTACCGGTCTCAGAGATCCAGAGAAGCTTAAAAGCGACAGCCAGTCAGCAGCCCGCATGAAAGGCTGTAAGACCGATCCGACCTTTGGCGGTTCTGGAAATCGGTTCTGGAAATTAGGAGAGACTGCGACATATTTCCGCAGCCCATCGAAGCTTCCAGCCGGGAGCTACCTAACACAGAGAAGTTTATAACAATTGGGCTTAATTACTTCTCTGAAATTAGGGAAAATATTCTATTATTAATATTATTTTATGAGAATTTGCACTCGAAAGGGGAAAGATGAATGTTAAATAATTGGACATATAACTTGTTAAAGTAAAATGGGTTTGAAAGATCTGTTTGAATAAAGCGGAACCACGCACGCTTTTATTTTTTTTTTATCCTTTTCTGTATTTTAAATAAGGCAGAGCAGGGGAATTCCATCAGTCAGTCACAATGTAGGTAACTCTCAGTAAGAGGAACCAAACCGTACCAGCGTATCGATCGGGTACCACCAGTACTGAAGTGGACAAGCCTGCGCTGGTGGCACTTCCATCCGCCCAATCACGAGCCTTGGCGCTAACTTGAATGGGAACTCTCCTTTGGGCCGCGAGTGTCGGAGCCGGCAGAGCCCAATTTGATACCCTCAACCTTGCAGATTACTCCCGGGGCTAAACTGGGAAAGAGTCAAGCTGCACAAACCAAGTCTTTATCAAATATCCAACTTCCTTTCAAAGCCTTGGACAAAAGATCCGAATAACTGGAGTTGGCCCTGTCTCAACTGCGTCTTTTGGGTTAGCCGACTGTACCTTCGGGACCCTATCGATTCTATATGGAACTAGTCTTAGTTGGGGGGATATGCCTTGCTGGGCCGCACTATTTTTGTGTACACAGTACGGAGTCCCCAGCAAGGGCAGGCACCTCTACGCGGTGCTGGGGATTAGTATTCTTGCAGAGACCTTCTTTACAGGGAGAAGCTAAGACCTGCCCAAAAAGAGCGCATGGAAAATGGTCATGTAGTGGGGGAGAGCGCCCGGTTGGCTGCAAGTGAAAACTTTTCACCACCGACGACAACACACCTCCATACAGCCTTGAACAGAAGAATCGCCCGACTTCACTCAGCTGGGCGTCTTCAGATATCGATATACGACGGTTATTACTACAGCAATAGCCAACGTGTGCTGAGTTTCCTTGGCTACGAACATTCGGCCGCAATACTACTAGTCTCACCCACACCTGGCTGACTCTCCCCCCCCCCCTTCCCCTGCGGCCTCGAAAATAAAGATAGCTAGACTTTTGCTGCTTTCACTCTTCTCAGCTATCAACATGCGACAGCCACAACCAAATTACCTCCGCTCCCTATCCCGTCTTCCGTCCGTGTGGCCCCGAACACAAGGATAGCTAGACCGTTGTGGTTCCGGTCTTCTCAGCTATCGTACGACCACCAATACAACTGACTGCTCCGTTCCCTTGTCTTCTCACGCGGATCTCGAACAGAAGAATAGCTAGACCGTTGCGACCGGCTCTCCGCAGCTATTACATACGACCGCCGATTCCACCGATCGCCTCCTTTCTGGACCTCTCTGCCCGCCCTGTGGCCTCGAACCGAAGGATACCTAGACCGTTGTGGTTCGGTCTCCTCAGCTATCGAAGTACGACCGCCTACATTACAGATCGCCTCCTCCTTGCTTCCTCCGCCCTCCGTGTGCCTCGGACAGACGGATAGCTGGACCTTCGCTGCCTAGGGTTCCCTCAGCTATCGATATCGACCACCAAACCACAGATCATTTCTCCGTCTGGCTCCTCCCTCTCCATACCGCTTCGAACCGAAGAATAGTTAGGCCTGCGCGGTGGGCCTCCGCAGCTATCGACGTACGACAACAAACATCATAGATCGCTCCGTCTCCTTGCTCCCGCATCCAAATCTCTTTCAAGCGGCCCCGAATCGAAGGATAGCTAGACTTATGCGTTGGGTCTCCGCGGCTATCGATATGCGACCGCAAACACCACAGATTCTCTTTCCCCCTTGCTACCAATACGATCATTAGTCACCCGGCCGCCTGAGCCTAGACGTCACTCATCCCCCATATGATCACAGCAATCTTTTCCACAATTGAGGTTTTTACTCCTACCGACGAAGACAACAGCACCAAATAGAGTGGCGGATCAGGCGACAGGGTGCTTTCCTAATGTCTAAGAAGAGATGCACTCACGATGAGACCGAACATCGTACACGCCATTTCTCTGTCTCTCCTACATTCTCTTGTCTAGAGACAGTATCCTGCCTCTATGACAGAGAGCAAGACCACGATTACAAGATGTCAAGGCCCAAACATGCAGCACACATACGCAGTCACATGGGCCAAGGTCTGAAGTTGCTATATCTAGGCTGGTGATGAACACCAAACCCTTGGGGTATATAGGTACCGCAGAAGGCCTGGGGCGACCACGGACCTACAAGTTCGTGTGGATCCAGGTTTTCAAGTACACCCAAAACTACCGATGTAAATAGTTATTCCATAGTTAACTGCCCAAGCCGCTTGATAGTGGTGGGCGGTTCCCGCATAGCCAGATAGGCTGGGACGGTGAATGAGAAACTTCCACTTCGACTCCGACTCATGCCCCGGTTTTGGACGAAATCTCCACCGCTCCCACTTATGACTGTTAACCTTCAAGGTGATCAGTGAGGGAGGACCCACCTCCAACGCTAAAGATCAGATACAGAAAGTGAACCTGCAGATAGCCTTCAGAAACCGTTCTCATTCAGGATGGCCGACGATTTCCTTCACACTCAAGCCACCGCGTTGAGCCTCCTATACTCCCAATATGAGTGGGAAGGGATCACCCATCCCTGGGGTTCTGCTTTTTCGGTCAACCCTGATTTACCACTACTACGAACGTGGGATGGGGCTTCTGGTAGCCAGCCCAGCGAAAGCGGCAGAATGTTAACAAGGCTCCCTCGTGGGCGCCTGGACACCTCAAGAGCTCGAAAGACGTTTCTAGCTACACACGCTGACCACAATATGGGATTCTACTCCGTTCATTTCATTCACCCAATCACCGCAGGAACTGCAAGAGAATATCAACTGGAGGAAGAATAAACGAGGCAATCAAACAATCGCGGTGTTGAATCCAAATGTACGGATTGATAAAGGCCTTCCTGTTCTGAATATGGTAGACGAAATGCGTTATTATGGAGTCCCCGACCCCTACGGGAGAGCGAATAATTACTACAAGAATCACTACATCTGTTTATGGGAAGTTACGGAAGAGGAAGTTGTTGGAAACTGAGAATGGCATGAGTTACTCAAAGCCGATTGTTGGTATGAGCAAGTTATCTTGCCCGCTTCCAAGGAGCATAATGACCGGTACAATGCTCATAACAAGGCATTCAAATGTCGGCGCTACGGGATGCTTTGTTTAAATCTACAAACTTTTGCAGCTGCAGTGAGACTGAAGAATATGGAGCTTGCTTTGGGGACGAATCTGACTCCTCTGATGAAGTTGAAGAAAACAACGCAATGGATGACGCGCTGAAGCTACTTGAGGAGGCTTGAAGGGAAAAAACACTCGGTGTGAATCACTGTGGCTTAGAATCGTGCTTAGAGTGTCTGATATGCCCTCCGCCAAGGCACATGCGGTTTCAGACAGCGGCAATATATTTTCCATTGCATCATATCCGTAAGCGATGGTTTACGCATCATAAGAGCTACCTTAAAATCTGGCTGCCTCGAATACCAAACTGCTTATGCAGCAAAGATGCAGTAGTGAGCCAGTTCGGGCAAGTAGCTAATTCGTTTCCCTCCCATGTCTGATATCCCGCTCATGATAACATACCAAACCTTCGAGTGAGGTCCCGCTGAGAATGTCGAGTGACGAAAACCACAACTGATGTGTCATCTGATTCAATAGCTCTGGTATTTCCACAACAATAATTCTTTCAGCTTGGGCTGCCAAGAAAAAAGCATTTAGTATTAGTGAGGAGTCAGAACCATATCTTGCTCCGTTTCCTTTGCCACAGTCCTATTATTGAGCATCACTTTCCACTCGATCGAGAAATGTATACGTATCGGTGGATCTTCATCATATGCCCAGCCCTCCTCCCGATTACCGAATCGTAGTTGTGGAAGATTCTTGAATTGCATTTTTGAAGGGTAATGGGTTGCGAGAAAACGTCGCCGATAGGCAATGGATTGTCGCCGATAGTGCTAAGATATGATGGAGAGCTAGCGCCATGACGAGGGTTTCCCGGGATTGGTGCATATTGGAGACTCCCGAATCGAGTGTTCGTGTAGATGCTCCCATCATCGTTCAGAATGAAAGGGATTTATTATGGTGGTTTCGCTGGATGCCTGGTTAGCGGTAGCCTAGTTCCAACACCGGCTCAATAATGCCTAGCTGTTGTTCGCCCGCAAACAACGGGAGTCCACTAAAACTAGTGCTTCTCGGATCCGTAATATTGGAGATCAAGGAGAGCAAATCAGGCGCGAGGCTGAATGGACCTCCTGGTATCTGCTGTTGGCCGGCTAGGGGTCACGCCGTTATGCGGGGAGAAAGGGGTTGATGCCACATAAGGTCTGCCAGGAACCAGGCACAGTCGTTCCATGGTTTGTCTAGTTTGTCCAAGTGCTACCATAAGTTCCGAGGGGACTCTCGTGCAATGCCTGGCTATACTAAATCTTACTAGATATGACCAGAGTACCGTGTATGAGACGAGTATTGCGTCTAGTAAGGCCAATGTATTAGACTGAGAGTATCTTACACAACCCCATTAGGGTTGTGTTGTGTTGGGCTGACGCACAATTCCCCGCTGGTGCTCGGAGGTCATTCATGACACAAATTGCCCGATCAGTTCGAGGGTTCTCACCGCGTTCTCACCGCGCAGCAAGACCTGAATCCCCAACCCTGCTTTGCCCTTGGCGCAGCATAACTCAGCTCCACGCTGAAGAGGGATTGACCAGGCTGCATGCGACCATGCGTCTTTCATAATGTGATGATCGCCTTTTGAGGTGCCTGATCGCGGTCAATGGGAGACCCAGTGGAGAGCTGGATGACCTGCAGACCAGGGGTAGGGCAAATGAAGCGGGTCACAAAAGGGGAAAAAGAAAAGGAAAAGATAGAAACAAAGGGGCAAGTGGGGCAAGTGAGGGAGATGAGGTAAAGAGGCAAGGAATGGTGAAGATATGGTCAAAAGATGGCGAGAGATGGAAAGCATGGTAAAGGATCACCGAGTAGACACGGTCAAATATTTGCGCTACCGTCTCTGTTGAGTATCACGGGTGGCTGTGTTGAATATTATGGTGGCTGAACCTTATGGCAGGGATTGGGAAATATATATGAGGCATCCCGCCCCTGTAAAAGATAAATCCAAGAAGTCAATCAACACGAATCAACCTCACTGTCACTTATCCCAACACTCTACTCTCGTCTGTATCTATCATGTGACTTGCCGACGTCGTGCACAGCGTAGCTAACTATGGGGCAGATCTTCTCGCATTTTATATCTTGCATTGAGTGGAGGGCAATCCCATACTCTATTCTACCAGCAGCCTATCCCGAAGCCCAGCTGGCAGGGGCAATCGGCACACTCTGCTCCTACTCATTTCTGGAGAGAAGAGATGGTGGCATGAAGTTCGATATGCATAGGCTCGTCCACTTGGCGACCAGAATATGGGTAAGTCAGAACGGTCATGAAGCAGAAACGAGAATAGCGGTGTTGAAACACATCGTGAAAGTCTTCCCCTCCGACGACTACATTAACCGTGAGGTCTGGCGGGATTACCTACCGCATGTGGCACGTATAGAGAAGGATAAGCAGTTCCAAGATACAGAAGAGATGAGCGAGCTTTATTTGAAAGTCGGGCGGTGCTTATACGTTGATGGGCGGATAAAAGAAGCTGTTCTCTGGCTACAGGAGTCTTGCAAGTGGAGAGATAGAGGTCTCGCCCAAAACCATCCCTCACGACTGACGTCGCAGCACGAGCTCGCTCGAGCATATCAAGCCAACGGACAGGTCAAGGAGGCAGTCAAACTGCTAGAAAATGGAAGGAAATGGAGCCCTTTTTCCCGCAACGAAAGTCAACAGCATTTCAAAGCCGTTGGTTCCGGCAGCTACGGACGAGATGAACGGCTGAAGATAATGATCATCATTGAAGACTCTGTTACGTACCCTTACTCGGACTACATCAGATCTTATCACTATTTTGCAAGAGCATAAGTATACTTCTTGTGGCGTAATTCATGGGATAGTCTAACATATTGTAGTATTGCCTTCAAAAAGTTGAAGCACCGGTCTTCGCCGTGAAAGTATACAAGTCTCATATAGATGCTACTTTTGTCTGGTATCAACAGACTCTGTTAGTAATAGGGACTTTATACTTTGGAATACGGGGTATTGAAATGTAGTAAAAATGAGGCATGGTACAAAAAGCAGCATCTACTGGTTTTGACGCAGCATGCAGACATAATACTGGAGCTCGATATATGGAGCTGATTTAATTTCAGAAATCTCTCAAAAAACGTTCCAAGGCTCTAGCTCTCAGCTACCCACACTAAATCACTGAGTTTAAATATGATAGAGTGCGATGAAGGATAAGCCAGAAGTTAGATTGAGCTTCTGGAATCCTGTAAGTAAAGGTCAGAGGATGTTCTTCTGTAGCATGCTACAAAGGAAGTTCTGGTGAAAACAAGATTAAGTGTGATTATGGCATGGCACCATACCAAGAATGTTGCAGCATTCTAGTAGATACACCTAGCCAAATACAAAAGGTGCGGTAACATGACATTAGACGCCGAGAATGCCATGATATTGTCCTACATACGTAGTCGTAGTTTCTGTGATTTGCCTTCATGGGAGTCTCGTCTGGCATCTTATTCCACAGTAGCAGAGTATTTCTTTTGTGCATCACCTCGCAACTTACGTGTCCAACGCTTTTGAACATGAGACAAGTCGAGCGCCATCCTTGGAACCCCCTTCAATTAGGAACCCCATCCATTATTAAAACCAATCATTTGTACATCCATCCATTTTTGAACACCCATCAGTTTTGCTTAGCCATCTTTTTTGTTCAGTCTATCGATCAGATTGTGGGATCCTTTTTCTGGTTCTTGAGTTATTGGAAATTGCATCCTGACAGGGACTTTCGCCCCGCCTTTTTATAAAGAAGAAAAGAAATTCATTCTAACCTTTCTGACCAGCCGAGAATGGTTGCCCCCAAGAGTGAAGGGCCCCCGCAGGGATCGCCTTCCTCATAATTGACAATCCTGCCCCCTTCCCTTCTCTCCATTTATGTTCCTCAACATCTCGTCTTCCCATAATATCTGCCTGCCATTATTGCCACCCACCCCACGATCCCACCATCTCCGTTGTCTCTCTTTTCAGTAAACGCGGTCACTTGACTCCCTCTCTTAAGCCATAGCTCGCCGCCCACCACATCACAACATTAGCCGTAGTAGCGACAACAACGAATCGCTAGCAGTGTGCCTTTCTGCCTAAGACAACGTCGCCGATCTGGATTTCCCGATGGACCTCACTGATGTCATAACTTTAACTTACCTCCACCCACTGGCCGTGGAGGCAAGGGTCAAACTTGTCGGAACCGCTCTAGACAGCGGTCTTCAGGGAGAAAGCCTCACGAGAGTGAGAAAGAATTTCCTTCTCCAAGCCGCATGGATACTGACTTAGACTGCAGCTCTGAAGGCGGTGGTGTGAATGTTGACACCAGCCATGCTCGACGTCCTGATACCAGCATCTACAGTGCTCCGTCCAAGGAGACACCCAAATCCTCCTTGAGATCAATTATGAGTTTACCAGGGGATATAAGGGCATAGAGCAAGTGTACGTAAGTCCCTTCTATCTTTCAGCAGCCCTTGCAGTCGAAAATCCCGTTGCCGACCGGCCGATCAGAACATATTCCCGTGATTGTCCACGACCTGCCTTTTGATTCCGAGTCTCCACACATTCCCACTGGCCGCTCTCTTTCATGATAATGCCTTTTGCCCAGGGGATGAGGTCAATGGAAGACCTTCAATGCCTGTTCCCGGAAGGTGGCTGCCAGCAGATGTCTGTCCCGTTTCGATGGGACAAGGCTGATTACTACATGTTCTACTATGTCGAGAACATCCGTGACAAGGTTCATATTTATCTCAAATAGCCTATCTCTCAGAGTACATTCTCACGATAACTCATGAAGTTTGGCGAGATTGCCGGCTTTATGGAATCATTGTTCACACATCGATTTTAGTAGGGCGGCGGCACCGTCCTCAATGAGGGTAGTAAGTCCTCGCGCATGCCCGTACTTCCCTGGGCTCCTTGATTTGACACTAATACGGAGCGACTAGGTATATTACGGCTTGTCAGCAATACACGGAAGAATTTTTGATCATGAAGCATGCGGGCATCGAAATCTTTCTCAACCATTATCTTCCTCGTTGGATCGGCACAGATGTGCAGGCATTGAGGAGAGGCCTTGAGCTGGATTTTGCAACGCCACGAGTCATACACAGATAGGACGGTGGGTTGACCGACGCCAACCCCAAGAACTTACTGATGCGTGGAAAGCCACAGTCAGTCAGGATCCAGACTTTGAAAAGCCATCTAGAAGCGGGATGCGTTTAGCCAGAAACTTCAGCGTTTTCGGAAAAAGACTGATTGAAAGATTGATCGACTCACCGATTTGAAGAGACAGGTCACGAATACACGATCTAAACTGCTGTATGCCGTTTGCCAACGTGTGCGGGAGTGGTTGAGGGATAAATCCAAGCCACAGAGCACCTTCTCCCACAGCGGACGTACCTCATAGGCAAACTGATGAAGTGGCCCACCTCTTTGTCAGCAGAAGAAGAGTGACGGTGACGGAATGAGACCACTTGAGAATGGCGGCTGCGTACGAATGGAACCAGTTCCGAGTGAATACTGTACTGTATACA